CTTGAGCTTAAGAGCTTGAATTTACAGTGAGCTACGATCATGTCACTGCACTCCAGCCTGAGTGACAAAGACTCTGTCTCTAAAAAAAAAAAATTTTAATTGTTATTGGATTTTGCCATGTCCTAGGTTGGGCAGAATGATTTGTTTTATACATAGCAGGTACTCAATAACTGAATCTAATTTCTTACCATACTAGGATCTTTGTGGGTCCAGAATAGGAAGAAAAAGTATTAAACTCCTATTAGTAAACTGCCAGATCAATATGTACTTGAATTAGTTTACTTGGCTGAATTAACTTTTTTAACTGAGTAGTATGAGAACCCTTATTTGATTTTACACTTACTGCTTCCATGCTCTCTTTTTTCATGTTCTGTGAATCCAATTGTTGTTGAAGTGTATCTAATTCCTAAGTGGAAAAAAAAAGCAAACATAAATCCAAATTACATTAAGAATACTTTGTAGTAGTGGGGGGAGAGAGCTTGGAAAAAAAAATTTGTTTCTCTATTTCTCAACATTTCAAATACAGATGTGACAAAGTAAATTTTCTAAATATCTTCACTGGCATCTTGCACTTTGACTAGAATTTATTAACACTTCATTATTTATATTTTTCCCATCTTCTTTTATTATTCTTAAAAACTTGCTGTGTGCCTTCAAAAAAAAAAAAACCAAAAAAAAACTTCATGAGTTTCTCAAAAGTAGCTAGACCTTAGACCTTTTCACAGTGAATCATCACTATGTTCTGAGACATCAAGTATCAGAAGATTTCAAATTATGTCATTAAGGTTATTATTTAAAATATTGATGTTTAATCGTGTTTTCATATCTTTTGCCTAATTTCTCTATACTATACACACACACAACACATGCACACACACATACACATATATGTAAATATAAATATGGTTCACTCCTAGGATAAGATCCTTAAATTGTTTACTCATTCATTATCCCATACAAGATTAAATATATTTTGGAATTATTTTGGCATTTCTATCATACTCTTTCTTTTCTCTTTCTGAGACAGAGTCTCGCTCTGTTGCCCAGACCGGAGTGTAGTTGCATGATCTTGGCCCACTGAAACCTCCACCTCCCAGGTTCAAGCAATTACCTGCCTCAGCCTCCCACGTAGCTGGGAATACAGCCACCTGCCACCACACCCGGCTAATTTTTGTATTTTTAGTAGAGATGGGGTTTCACCATCTTGGCTAGGCCATACTCTTTCTTCAATGCTTCATTGTATCTTAGAAATCTTGTCTAAAATAAAAAGGTTACTAAATTGTCAGCAAAGGAATGTCTCAGAAACTAAAACTATAATCATTATTGGCATTTATGGGGCCTAATTCTTTGCTTAATCTTTATTAAGGGCCATCTGGGCATGAAAGGGCACCATCATGACTGAGCATTGAGAGGATTCTCAATATCCCCTAAGCAGGGATTTAAATTGCTTATTTAATATTGCATGTTCTCACTCATCTGTAGGAGCTTAAAAAAGTGGATCTCGGCCAGGCACAGTGGCTCACACCTGTAATCCCAGCACTTTGGGAGGCCAAGGCAGGCGGATCATGAGGTCAGGAGATCGAGACAATCCTGGCTAACACAGTGAAACCCTGTCTCTACTAAAAATACATTAAAAATTGGCCAGGCATGGTAGTGGGCACCTGCGGTCCCAGCTACTCAGGAGGCTGAGGCAGAAGAATGGCATGAACCCGGGAGGCAGAGCTTGCAGTGAGCCGAGATCGCACAACTGTACCCCAGCCTGGGTGACAGAGTGAAACTCCATCTCAACAAAAAAAAAAAAAGGGAGGGAGGTAGTAGAATGATGGTTACCAGAGGCTGAGAAGTTGGTGCCCAGCTGGGGGCATGGGGAGGTGGAGGGGGAGAGAAGGAATAAATTCTCATGTTTGATAGAACAGTAGGGTGGCTATAGTTATCAATAATTAATTGTATGTTTCAAAATAGCTAGAAAAGGAGATTTAAAATGTTTTCCAGCATAAGGCTGGGCACAGTGGCTCATGCCTGTAATCCTAGCACTTTGGGAGGCTGAGGAGGGCGGATCATGAGGTCAGGAAATCGAGACCATACTAGGTAAGACGGTGAAACCCTGTTTCTACTAAAAAAAATACAAAAAAATCAGCCAGGTGTGGTGGCAGGCGCCTATAGTCCCAGTTACTCGGGAGGCTGAGGCAGGAGAGTGGCATGAACCCAGGAGGCGGAGCTTGCAGTGAGTCGAGATCACACCACTGCACTCCAGCCTGGGAGACAGATCAAAACTCCGTCTCAAAAAAATTTTTAAAAAAAGTTTCCAGCACAAAAAAAATCCTAAATGTTTGAGGTGATGAATATCCTGATTATCCTGATTTGATCATTATACATTGCACACATGCATGGAACTATCACATGTACCCCATAAATATATACAATTGTTGTGTATCAATAAAAAATTAATTTTTAAAAATGGATATTTAAGCAATATAATTACAGGACAATAGCCATTCAAATCATAATGCTAACAGGTAAAAAGTTTAGCTGTTTATTACGCAGGAAGGAAAAGGAAAGTAAATAGCTATAGGGAGCTGGTCTATGAGGACTTCTTTTTTTCTTTTTTTTTTCTTTTTTTTTTGAGATGGAGTCTCGCTCTGTCACCCAGGCTGGAGTGCACTGGCATGATCTCAGCTCACTGCATCCTCCACCTATGAGGCCTTTTAATGTTTGCATTAAAAGTCTGTAACTGCAAGTATTTATAGACTTTTTAATTTATAGACAAGTATTTTTATAAATGCAAGTATTTTCATGTGTCTTTATGAAAAGCAAAATGAATAAATAGAAGTGAACAAAAAATAATAAGAGTAAAAGCTAGGTCATCAAGCAGCATACAAAAACGAAGTTTTCTAAATAAATGCTTCTGAAATGTGAATGTCCGTTTGAATCAGTTGGGGACCTTGTTAAAATGAAAACTGATCTCAAAGTCTAGTCAAGCTCTCAGGGGATGTTGACGCTGCTGATATTCAAACTATACTGTTAGTAGCAAGACTGATACATGCTTGGCACAGAGTAATAATTCATATTACCTGTAACAGTTTCTCATTTGTGGCTTTCATCTCTAGGTACTTGACTTGGTTTTCAAGAGACATATTTTTGATAATGTCATCTGCTGCTTGTTTTTCCTGTTCAATTTCTTCTTCTACGCTTCTCATTTGTTTTTCTTTCCTAAAATCAAAAGCACGTAATATTCCTGATACTGTACTGAGGAAAAAATATCCAATTATTTTATACAAGTCACAGTCCTAATTTAATAGGATACTTAAAGATATTCAACCATAGTGTGTGACTGAAAAGTCTTTATATTTGTACTAAAAAAATGCTATTTGACCTATATAAAATTTGGCCCCATTAGCACAAACTTATTTGGCATCTTTCTCTTCTCCATCCCCAAATTCCTCTATTTCCTTACTCTCCATTTTACTTTACTAAGAAATCACAAAGATTATCAAAGAAAATCTTTAATGACTTATATATATGAGGATGCATTTATACTTTTTTAAAGTTATACCTTCAAAAGACAAATAAGAGACTGGGCTCGGTGGCTCACATCTGTAATCCCAGCACTTTGGGAGGCCAAGGCAGGTAGATCACCTGAGGTCTGGGGATCGAGACCAGCCTGGCCAACATGCCAAAACCCGATCTCTACTAAAAGTACAAAAATTAGCCGGGCCTGGTGGCGGGCGCCTGTAATCCCAGCTACTTGGGAGGCTGAGGCAGGAGAATTGCTTGAATCCAGTGGGCAGAGGTTGCAGTGAGCTGAGATCGCGTCACTTCACTCTAGCCTGGGCAAAAGGGCAAAACTCCGTCTCAAAAAAAAAAAAAAAAAAGACAAGTAAGAAGTTTTAGAATTGTGGTTTTCAAACATCCTTCAGCATAAATTTTTTTGACCAAATTAAATATTGTATAGAAGTTTGCCATGTAAATCATCCAGTGCAGCTCTGACAGAACTAGGAGAAGAGAGGCCTGCAGTGCAGTTTGATTTTTTTAAAGTTACGGCTTTAGATTAATAATATGCTTTGCTTAAATTCTCTTTTACTTACTGCTTTAGTTAACATTGCTGTTTCACAAATTATTGGTATTTTTTAGCACTGTAAAATATTAAGCTCATTTCTCTAAAAACACAACAAACATTACAAATATAATTACACAAAAGTAGTAATAGTGAAATTAATTAGAAGCAATAACCATTTTTATCATGTAGCCAAAGAATACCAATGACATGCCACTTGTTGCCTAGGCAAGGTCAATTATTGATAGGGTAGAGAAAAATTATGAAAAAAGAATAGGTAAGATGCCACTTATCTAAATACTTTCAAGATTTACATTTTATAAAAAGCTGGATTGAACATACATTTTCAGTCCCAAGATCATTAATTTCTATTTTGGGTTTCAAAATCTGATTAACCTATCACTATTTACTCTCTTTCGCTCATAGATGTCAACTTCTACAGTTGTCACCATCACCAGCTAAGCCTGTGGATCCACAAATCCCCTATACACCTTCTACACATTCATATCCTACTACTACAATAAACAACCTAAACTCAGAAATTTCCCTACCAAAAAAAAATCTAAAATAACCAAATAAAAGATGAACATAATAAAACAGACAACCTGGAATTTCAATTTATTTTTGTGTCACTATTGGAGAAGATGTGGTATCTTCACTTGAAGCTTCAATTACAACAGTGTAACAAATGTGTTTCCTGCTGCTACAATTTGTATAGGTATATGAGCTCACAGAATTTGAAAGAGGAAAATATCTATTTCAATCTCTTTGTTTCATAGATTAAGGATACTGAAGCCCAGTGGAAATAATCTTTTGGAAGGATTTCATTCTAAACTTGATTACTCACCACCAACAATGTTTCTTCCTACAATGTAGGAAGAAGAACTAATGTTATAAAGTATTCCATCTTACAGAGGAGAAATTACAGCATAAGAAAGGTAACTGACTTTCTCAAGGCCATATGATGTCCAGGTGTCAGGTCTTTTTGATGCTTTGAGTACTTTGCTCCTGTTATAAGTTGGCAGTAAAACCACTGATGATGGTGTCATAAAAATAAGTAAACAAAAATGTTGAAACTCAATAGAATACAAAACTTGGTAATATCTTTACAATTTGAATCCCTCCTTCCCTCCTTTCTTTTTTCTTTTCCCCTTCCTTTCTTTTCCCCTTCCCTTCCCTTCCCTCCCCTCCCCTCCCCTCCCTTCTCCTTCCCTTCCCTCCCTTCTTCCTCTTCCCCCTCCTCTCTCTTCTTTCTCTCTCTTTCTCTTTCTCTCTCTCCCTCCCTCCCTCCCCCTATTTCTATCTTTCTTTCTTGACAGGGTATCACTTGTCACCCAGACTGGAGTGTGGTAGCACAATCATGGCTCACTGCATGCTCAAACTCAAGCCATCCCCCCACCTCAGCCACCCAAGCAACTGGGACTAAAGGTACACAACGCTATGGCCTGCTAATGTTTTTACTTTTTATTTTGAATAGAGACAAGTTCTTGCTAAGTTGGCCGGGCTGGTCTCAAATTCCTGAGTTCAAATTATTCTCTCACCTTAGCTTCCCAAAGTGCTGGGATTACAGGCATCAGACACTGCATCTGACCTCAATTTGAATCCTTCTAAGCATAAAATGCCATCAGGACAAACATAAATTAATTTAGCAACAGTATGTCTTTCGAAAGTATGCATTTTCAATATTGTAAACTCTAAATCAGTAAGTAAAATTGTTAACATTTTACTAAAAGAAACACAAAAGTAGGCCGGATACAGTGGCTCACACTTGTAATCCCAGCACTTTGGGAGGCTGAGGCAGGTGGACCACCTGAGGTCAGGAGTTTGAGACCAGCCTGGCCAACATGACGAAACCGCATCTCTACTAAAGGTACAAAAATTAGCCAGGAGCAATGCTGGGTACCTGTAATCCCAGCTACTCAGCAGGCTGAGGCAGGGAGAACTGCTTGAACCCAGGAGGCAGACGTTGCATTGAGCCAAGATCATGCCACTGCACTCCAGCCTGGGTGACAGAGCGAGACTTCATCTCAAAAAAAGAAAAAAAGAAAGAAAGAAAGAAACACAAAGGTTAGGCAAACAGTCTTACTTGTTACACTAAAAAAAGGAAAAGACAACTTTAAGAAATTATTCTTCTAGTCAATGTTTTGCTAAGGAAGTCTAGTTTTTTTTTTTTTTTTTTAAGTCACCTGTTCACTGGGTACAAAGGTTAAAACAAAGTGAAATGTAATCATACGATATACTTTTTTTAATGCTGTTGAAGAAACAGAGTAATTTCCTTTAGCACACCACTCTTAGAGACAAAAGAAAAAAGGTAAGCTCTATATATTTATAGCTTTGGTTATTGTTGTATTTTTTAAAAAATCATATTTAAGTTTGTTAAGTCTGTACAACAATCTTTGCCTTTAAGAAGTGATGAAAAATAAGAAAATGTGATTATATTTTCACACGGTCTACCTCAAAAATACTATATACCTGGGACATGGCCAAAGGGTCTTTCCTAAATAAAGTTAGAATACAATACTAAGTAATTGTTTTTGGGGAGGGGGGAAGGTTTCATCTAGCCAATCAAATTTAGAAGATTTTTTATTTTAAAACACGTTAATCACAGAGCATTCTGAAGCGACATTAGTCTAAAAGCCTATTTGCAAGATAAAAAAAAAAAAAGACTGGCCATGAGTTGATAATTATTGAAGCAGGGTGATAACTATTCTCCTTACTTAGGTTTTTTTCCTTGAAATTTTCCATTACAAAAGGTTTTAAATTTGAAAAAAATCTACACAATAAATAAGGAAATGAAGTTAATTGTGTATTATTAACATCGTACTCTAAAGACATTGAATTCTGGCATAAATATCTAAAATATTTAATGGAAAAACTACATTTAGATTTTATTTAACAAAACCAAAATAATTGGAGCATCTCTTTATTTCATAGCATATAATAATCATATAAAATAAATAACTTAAGAAACATGTACTTGAAACTTTATTAAGAACAATGCTTCTTTTTCAGTATCCACCATTTCCTTTGAGTAAAGCTCTTTTTTTGTTCCAGTAACGTAGATCATATGCTAGGTAAAAATGCACGTAATTTTGTGAAATAACAAAAGACACTGATATTCCATTTTCTATTCCAGTTTTCTATTTTATATTAGTTCCTAAGTAATCACTATATGAAACTCAACTATCATTTCAAAAAAAATCCAAATTAGAAAATATTCCAAAAGGAGAAATAAAGCAGCAATAACTGACTTCCTTTAAAACCAACTGTTGAAATAGGCTAAACTGACTCATGGATAATTTCTACATTATCTACTTGGCTAGGTATTTTGCCTATATGATTTTTCTTTTTTTAAGACACCCAATAATGATAGCAAATGCTTTGTCTGGGGATTTGAATAGTGTCATGAAAATCAACATTCGCCCCCTCTTACAATCTTTCTCCTCTCAAAAGGCACACAAATATGTGAAAACTCTCACGCATAGTATGGATCAATCAATGTATTTCACAGCTTCAGACCTAACAATGCTTTAGATTTGTTGAACGCTTTCTTGTACAGAATCTACCTTGAGCTGAGTATACGCTGCTTCTAAGATCTACCAAATGGAAAAGAAAAAAAATCCTTTTCTAATCCTTATGATTTTTTTCTTTTAGCACACTTGAGAAAACAATTATTAGCATTAAATAGCAGATACAGATAACAAATATAAAACTATACTCTGTCTCCATTTCCACATAAGCTCACAGTCATGCCTTGCCTCTATTACTTTGTTCACCTGCTTCTATTTCATATCAACTTTTAACTTAAATCTAGTTAGTTTTCTTTGTAGCCTATTTGCTTTCTTTCACTATCCCCATCCTGTTTGTTTCTGGAAAAAAATAGCACTTCCCTTAACTCACCTCTCCTCAGTCACCTCTGCATCCTACCAGAGACATCAGTAAGAATGTCACCATATCATTGAGAAATAGTGAAACAAGCCATTGAAGAAGCTGAACACCTATTACAAAAGGTAAACTACCTTCTGTAAATGATTTAGGCAGCCCTCTTCTGTGGGCAATCATCTTGAATAAGTGATAGCTTAAATGCACTTCTGGCTCTAAAAGGCATTCTATTATGATCTACATCCAAATTTTATAAAATATAAGAGGCAGAGTAGCTTTTTCTAACAAATTTGATTTAACTATGGAAGGAGAGAAGGTAGAAGGGGAATAAGCATAAATGGATCAACAAATCAAAGGCAATGAGGAAGTTGACTAGAACAGATTAGCACTATAATAGCAGTAAATTCCTTATTGCTAACGAGGCGAGAGACTTTAGTATGCTGCATGGATTCTTGTTTACTCTGATTAGTTCTTCTTTTTTTTTTTCTGAAACAGTCTCACTGTCACCCAGGCTGGAGTTCAGTGGCATGATCATAGCTCACTGCAACTTCTGCCTCCCGGGTTCAAGCAATTCTGCTGCCTCAGCCTCCCAAGTAGCTGGGATTACAGGCACCCACCACTGCACCCGGCTAATTTTTGTATTTGTAGTAGAGATGGGGTTTCACCATGTTGGCCAGGCTGGTCTCAAACTCCTGACCTCAGGTGATCTGCTCGCCTCGGCCTCCCAAAGTGCTGGGATTACAGGCGTGAGCCACTGTGCCCGGCCTACTCTGATTAGTTTTTCTATTACCTGCTATAATGAAATAAACTTTCCTTAAAAAAATCGTAAGTAACTAATTGTAACAAATGCTGTAAGAATGCTCAAAAGACTAAATTTCTGAACACCCTTAAGGATGACAGAATATATTTATATATTTTCAAACGGATAATTTGTTTGCAAAAGGGTTTTTAAATTGACTTTAAGAAAACAGAGATAAAGAACAAGAAACATCAAGGTCATGAATAAAATGACTAAATAAAAAAGTAACTATTTGGCAAGAAGAGTACAGTCCAATAAATGTCGATTTCTAGGCAAAGCTGAAACCTTAAATGCACCCATTAACTTTAAATTGTGTTCAAAACCTGATTAACATGAAAATAAAAGGTAAAAAGGGATATAAACTCACAAGGACAAACAGAATGGAACAGGAGTCAATAGCAATGAAACCTAGAAACCAGAAACCTAATAGCTGAGTGGAAATTGACTAGGAAAACAAAAATTTCCCAAGTCAGCAATGAGAAAAGCTGAGAGTCACTTGAATTGCACTGCAGAAACTCTAAATAGCCCAGAAATTGGCAGCACCAGGTATTCTGAAAGTAGAGGAGAGGCTAATTCCTCTCTGTCTGTCTAGCCAGATAATGTTCCTTCTCTACACAAGCAGATTAGAGGATCCCCCACGCCACCAGAATAAAACAAAGGGAATTTGGGCAATGGGCACAAGTGAGTGCAAAGGCATTGTTGAGATTAAGTTATAGTTTCCATACTAAATACTGATGCAAATCCAGCTTTTTTATCACTTAGCACTCAGAATGCTGGCTACCAGGCCATTATCTCTTTGGGCAGTAAATCAGAAGAGTCATTTTGTGGATAATGACATTCCCTAAGAAAACAGTCCAGCAGTTACACTCTGTGGTCAAGTCTAGAAACAATGAGACCCACACAAATGCATTTTCCTATCAGCTTTTTAGTTTCCCACTCTCACACATAAACCCTAAATAAAATATTAACAGACTAAGAAGAACGCCTCCAATATAAAGGACACTGCCCAAAGATAACTGGAAAAATACAATCTAAGGATATAGAGGCTATTCAAAGAAAAGGAAATAACAAAAGGCACAATGATAAACAAGAAAATATAATATATTCATGCAACAGAATACTAATAAAGAAAATACTCTGAAACAAAAAAGCTCTTAGAATTAAAAAAGATGGCAAAAAATTAATAGAAGAATGTGAAGATAAAATTGAGGATGTCTCCCAGAAAGGAAAGCAAAAAACACACTGAAATAAAATGTAGGACAGTAAAGGTTTTAAAATCATTCCAGGAGGTCCAACACCCAATTGAGGAAATTCTAGGAAAAAAAAAAAGTGAAATTTTATTTTAAAAAATAAAAAAATTATATCATCAATGAGATAATTCAGAAAATTTCCCAAAACTGAGTGACATAGCTTCTAGATGGAAAAGACTGACCAAGTACCCAGTTTAATAAATGAAAACAGGCCGGGTGTGGTGGCTCATGCCTGTAATCCCAGCACTTTGGGAGGCCGAGGTGGTGGATCACGAGGTCAGGAGATCGAGACCATCCTAGCTAACATGGTAAAACCCTGTCTCTACTAAACATACAAAAAAATTAGCCAGGTGTGGTGGCGGGAAAGACACAGGATAATGAATATAGTATTGATTTTAAAAGCTTTGATAAATAATTAGAATGACATGGTATATTTCTTGACACAGGATAATGAATATAGTATTGATTTTAAAAGCTTTGATAAATAATTAGAATGACATGGTATATTTCTTAACAGTAATACTAGAAACTCAAAGACAGTAGGGTAATACCATCAACATTTTGAGGGAAAATTACTTCTTACCTAGAATTCTATCTCTAGCCAAAATATCTTTCCAAGTCTAAAAAGTTTTCCCTCCTATACACACTCTCTAGAAGCTACTGAGGAAGCTCCATTGAAGAAAGGCAATAAACCAGACAGGGTGTTCTAGAAAATAAGTACCCAGTAACAAAGGCAAAAGGTAGACTCTTTGATGAGGGTGGAAGTAAACAGTTGTGCAGAAGGCCTAGTGATCAGCTAGCTCCTCCAGATTACAGCATGGTAGCAGGCTCTGGGAGGGAGTTTTTAAGCTGATAAAACAGGTTAAATACTTAATATCCATAAACAAATGTCAGATATGCTAGGGGAGAGTTTGGTCATAACAAGAAAACTAAGCACATGAAAAAACAGTACAATTAGTTTGGAGGAAACAAAAAGGGTGCAGCAACAGAAAAGTGATCCTGTTACATGGCTTAGCCAATAACAGCTTTTTATTGACTGAGTTCAATCATTCATGATAGTACAAACACTGAATACTCATCTAACCAGAATTACAAGTAACTATGTTAGGAGATAAAGACATAGGAAGTATATATTTGATGTGTTGGAGATGAAGGGAGGGGGTATTTGAAAGAGAGCTGAAGGGGCTATCAATTCCAAAATGGTGGCCAAGAAGCAAGCTGGCTTCACTCCCCTCTACAGAAAACCAAAAACAAATATACAGACCTGAGATAATTACCAGCAATATACCAGAATTCAAATGTGAAGATGAGACAGTTCTAGGGCCACAGAGAAGTGAACAAACTTTGAGCAGATAGTAAGAGAATTGGACTTCCATATCC